CAAAGTGCCGTTTCGTTTTCCCTCGTTCGCGTTGGTTCTGTCGCTCTAACCGCGCCGCGATCAGCCATTGATCGCTGTCATTGTGGAGGACAAGGGTTGCCGCTGTTGGTTAGAAGCGCCTGTGTTTCGGGGTAGATACCGATACCCCTAGCCGACGACGGTCTTGTCTCTAGTTATCTTAGCATCAAGCCAGCAGGGTACAAGGGGCCTCGAAGGAGGGACCAACTATCACCATTCAGTTAGCTGTTGATCTGATAATTAGCTAGATCGACTGATCAGACCCAGGGAGATGTGAACAGAATCGAGGTTGGTATTAGACCATAGGCTCATCATGTTTGAGTCAGTTCTTCCTCAAAGCTCTCCAGCAGCATACCCGTCGGTTTTCCTTCCGAAACAGAGGTTTTTTCTTCTTCCAGTGCTAACCAACATGTAAGATTATTGGTCAATCACTAACTTAAATGCTCACAGACGCCGCCCATAGTGGAAGCTTATTGGATCATGCCTCTTAATTTAATGTTAGTCGATAGGAATTTGTCTTGGATTCTGTGCCTGGTACGCAAACCGATGCCCAGAGTTTTACAATTAGAAGCTCAAGGCTTCAAGATAGAGTAGCCTAAATGTCTGGATCATTTTATCTCTCAGGCTCTCAGCAGCCAAGTTTTTGATACCCTAACGGCAACCAGCGCCAGTCCACGACAACTGCGGAAAGGAAAGAGCCCGACGGAACGGACTGAGCTTGGTCCTTAGGTCCCTTCCACCTCTCCCATACGCAATTGCCCTGAGGCAGGTAGGTACTTTGAGCATTGGCAGGTGCAGTTATATGATCAGGTGACGCTGCCATAAACGGATTCAGAGAAAAGATCATGGATCCATCTCATTCAACTCTTTCATGTAACGACTCTCAGTTAAGACCACCTATTCATACCTAACCAAAGCCAACCCAACCCGATGCTTTGGTCGGCTTCCCTAGTGCCCGCTCGCTCACTGTTCGCTGCGGTGCGCCGTCGCCGCCACCAAAAAATCACCCGCTTGTTGAGCGTTCCTGCAAACTGCAAACACTAGCCACCAGTCCTACGAGCCCAGGTTGCACGAACCCGCCATTTCAGGCCTTCCTTGCGCTAGAGGAATGCTCCGGAAACTAGCCCAACAGACCCCTGTCGTCCAAGGCTCGCTCTTAAATTGTTGGCGCTGGACTTTAGCGCTGTTTGGTCCATGCCTGTCCTGCTACGTTTTTCTTTCTGTCCCGTTTTGGCGGTCCTTCTCCATTATCAAGTTACTTGCTCCTCACCGATAGACCTTGGGAATACCACAACCAGATCAGGTTCCTAAGCAGGCATGCATATGCGTGCCATTCATTCACCCCGACAGGCTACCTGATGAGCTTACCTCCAGATTTTCGCTCACGTTTTTATCAGCGGTTTGTCATTTTGCGTCCAATACTTAACCTGGGAAGGCCCTCGATTTAACCAGGTTTGCAGGTCAAATCACGAAACCTTCGTACGAAGCCATTAAGCTACAGGTTGCACTGGCCCTTCTCGAAGTCCTGTATACCTATTGTCACTGATCGATCCACGCAACCAAGTGTACCAGCAGAGAAGGGCAGCTCGAATGACACAATCTCTAGCCTGGCCAACCTTCGTTCCAATACGCATCCTAGTAACTAGGTGTCGATCTAAGTCATAGCCCTACCAGGGCACTCTCCGTTTTATCCAGCGCATCGGATTCGCACTGAGCCAGCCCTCGCAGTTAGGCCTATTGGGTAGTCATACATTTGACTTCAACATGTGAACTAGTCTAACATTTCTGTGCAGTAACTTCTCCTCATAACTGAATCTTTGATCTTGGTCAACTGGTTCGTTGTTTGACTGAGCGGGTCATTTGTTAATATTAAAGTTTAACTCAGTGATAATGGAAACGAACAATTGCATGTCGAGAACCCTGAAATATGCCTTACATTGGGAAACAAGGGAAGGCAGCAAGTCCTTCTTGTCACGCGTCCCTTGTCAATATGGACCAAGAACAACCTATAGCGCACACGATACTTATACAACATGCTCAATGCAAACCCCTGATCTGATGAATTTGACAGGCAGATAAGAGGTCACTGGTACCTTTCGTGATGCAAGATCATTGCCTTGCGGTTCAGACCACTTGCATCAGACGTTTTGCGCATTTCAACTTGCTCATGTGCAACTTGGAATCTCTCCTAGGCGATAGCAGAGTGGCTGCTGGATGTCTTGACTGTCTGCAACGTCTCCTCTGACTTGCTGCTTTTGGGTTATGACTCCAGGCAGCTTCGGCCAAGTGCTGAAGGGACGGTTTGCCGAACCTCAACTAATGACACCTCCAAACTCGACGGGCAGGCAGTCTCCCCATTCCCTACAAGATGCCACCAATCAGAAGTCATGATTCGTTTTCGCAAGGTGTACAGAGTATGGAGTAACTTCATGCAAGTTCTAAAAGAGGACAAGATGAGGATGTTAGTTACATGCATCCCTGACCCTGCCTGCTCACTCCCGCGCTAACCCAGATTACCAGAGGATTGGGTCAAAGATGGTTTTCTCGTAGATCCCACAGAGCCCTTGCCAGCTAAGAAGTCGTGCAACCTCGCGACGACTCCGCTGGTGGAAGAAAGTCTGCCCTACCAACTGACTTCCGCAAACAGGTCTTTTTACGAGAACAAGTCAGTCTGCTAGCACTCACACAGTTGCATAGCCGAGTAGGCACTAAGTTCACCATGGCAAGTAGTTCACATGAATTTACCTATCCGTCACACTGCAAGCTGTGGTGTCAGGTTTTAGCCATTTTAATGCCACTAACCGCCTAGACACGGACTGCAACTCGTACGACAGAAACTCACTTGGTCTCCAGCTGCGAGGCCAAAGAACACAACAGTGTAGCTAATCGGCCGAGATTCTGGGACTGGTGACAGTTGTCAAGATACCGTCTGTATGGGATAACCACACGCATTGGCCTCAATGCATCATTGGCATGGACATACAATCCAACTCCTCACCGCTTCGACCCCTCTACCCCTCGAGATTCAGGGAATAAAGAGATTAGTGGAAGTCTCCGAGCTCGCCCGTGAGCTTGGGCACAAGTGACTAGTGCAGTATTGCGAGAGAGTTGATACGAGACGAAACTTAGCCGACACCTTGTTAATCTACTAAGGACTAGGCTGTACCGCTCCCTCGGATCCAACTCCTACTCAGAGCGTGGATTGTACAGTACCCAAAGAGTACATGGATCATCTCTAGAACGATTAGAGGCTCGACAACACGACGCACGAGTCAGTGTCAAGTATGAGCTGGAATTGGCGTGTCTGGATTTACAAAGCCCCAAATTGCGATGTTCATATTAAATTACTGCGTTATAGCTCTGGCAAAGCACTTTTTCGGATGAATGCATGAAACGCTGAGATCTGCAGATTTGTACAACAAGATGCCTCATTGTCTTTCCGCACACACGGTACCTAATGTAAGTAAGCATATCAGGTATGTTCTTACAAATCCTGTGCTCTGGTATCTGAGATCTTGTGCATTGTTGACACGCTGTCAGCTGAGCTGACGGAGCCAGCAAGCATCTCATTAGCAGGCCAGCGACGCCGAAATTCGATTGCCAGACTCATTCATGCACGACGAGTGTGATACAATGGGGTGAGTCCGAAGCCCCTGGCTGAGACCTTCTCGACCGCTCTGAAACTGCGTAGGTATGTACAGGAGGGTACTGTACATATGTACGTACCCCTCAGGACTGAGGCCAGCAACAACCCTTGTCGTCTGTGCCGCTTTGGTTAAAGACCCGACCCGTCCCAGACTGTCGGGTCGAAAGGTGGGGTCAGTGAAATTGACCTGGTGAGACGAGTACCTTTGGCTTGGGTGCGGTTTGGCCAGGAGCACAGAAACTATGGGTGCCAAGACAGCACGAGAAGAAACACCAATGCAGGTTGCCATATCGGTTAAAGCAGATATGTTTCTATATATGATCACCAACGAATCTCTTCAAGTGCCCGTTTAGGTAGGTATGCCCCGTGATCCGCAATCTTACAACAGCGAGAGTGCGCAAACCCATATTTGAATAGGAAAAAGTTCCTGTCTCTAAATCCATATTATGATTAGGGCCAAGGCTTACTTACGCAAAGCACAGACGAAGTTGATCCTTCCTTCACCACCGACGCAACAAGGCGCCGAGAAGCGTTGTCCCGCTGATCTTACAGGGTCTCATTCATTTGGTCGAGCCAACAACACGCGATAATTGGTGGCTGCATATCACATCTGGTCCCAGCCCCCGGGGCCGACCCTAGATTGAGTCTGCGCGCGTTCTCAGTCACCTCACTTCGTCCTTCAATCCCACCGCTGCGGACCAACAGCATAGCCCTAGCTCTACACGGGTTAGGCGTGATCCACTCGACAAGGTACAAAGCGAAACGAGCGTCGTTTTGAGAGACACAGCCATACCTACGTATGTGTATGCATCTTTATACATGAGTTTTGTCACCTGTCGGCCTCCTACGTCACCTGCGAGAAGCAACTAGGGTTCTCGACTTGGCAGAATAGTGATGCACGTTGTTTTACGGATACATCGATTACAGGTGAACTTTACTGCCACTACCTACCACACCACGACATGAACCAAGTAAACACCATTGGGCTGGTAACTATAATATCATTTCTCTAAGAATGACCATGTTATTCTAGGTATACCATCTGTACCTATTAACATGGGGCGGGGACAAATCCTCCAATCGTAACGTGAGTGGGTGTCGAACAACCTGATATGATGGTCCCAGTCTGTTGGCCGCAAATTACGGCGTCCACGGACTTAACTAATGCTCGACGTGTGCACACATGACCTGTGGCCCATCTTCACGACCTTGGGCTAATACTGTAATTCACTCAATGGGTCCCTCTTCGATCGCCTTTGTTTTCATATCGTTTCGAGTCATCACAGTCCATGGGCTCAATACCCAAAACCCTGACCTTTCAAGTATCCACTGAACACTACCACTCGTACTCACCAGTGGCCTTGTGGAAGACATACTCTTTACCGTTGACGGTCAAGACACCGTCCTTGAGGGTGCACTTCCTATAGCCAGTGTTAGCAAATAAACTAGGATAATTTGTTCAAGATGTTGACACTTACCACTTGTTCTTCACACGCTGCACCTTGTCATACATGCACAGCATGATGTTGCCCAGTCCCTCGTCATCGACATCGTCGTCGTCTCGGTCATCCTCCGGGTCGTCAAGATCGGAGTTGATAGCATCGTCATCGTCCTCTTCATCATCGTCACCTCCATCGTACGCGGCCGGTTGCTTGCCCTTGGCCTTGCGCGATCCCGAGGCTGTTGAGTGTCGAGTGGCCTCTTTCAAGGGTACCATCAGGCCGCCACCCTCCATGCTCTTAGCCTTGGCAAGAATCTGTTCATGCAGCATGCGGTCGATCTCGACTCGTCCAAGTTCGCGGAAGTCGCCAGAAGCAGCCCGCTCCATCAGCACACCCTCGTAATCTTCCACGTCGCCAGCACCGTCAGTCTGGCCGTTTTGAATGTGGGGGTGCCCATTAGAGGGGTGCTGCTGTTGCTGTTGGGCAGTTGCTGCGGCCATCTGCTGACGATACATCTGCTGCTGATGTTGTTGTTGCTGGGTCAAGTTCGGCTGCTGAGTAGGCTGTTGCTGTTGATGGATCTGTTGTTGTTGGGGCAAAGCAGGTTGTTGTTGCTGGGGTTGCTGCTGCTGACCCTGCTGAGGGTGTGGCTGTTGCTGCTGATGCAAAGCGTTAATGGAGCCAGCGGCGCGCTGGCCATATTGAGCTTGCAGTTGCTGGGCAGCGCGGTTGGCTGCCACGTTGTTTTTGTCATTCATGTTGATATTGGGGTTTGTGTTGGCGTACTGTTGATAAGCCATCGGGTTTCCCTGTAAGCCGGGCTCTTGCTTGATGGACACGGGGGATTCAGTCTTGACATAATTCCCTTCGGGCTTAACACCATTCTGGACTTGAGGTTGGGCCATCCCTGGCAGAGAAAGACCTGTAGGGTTGTTGAGTTGAGGCGAGAACTGTGCCTGAGCATGAGTTTGGGGGGCTGCCATTGCAGGTTGTGGTACTTGTACGGGAGGAGGGTCGGGCTTGGGATCCCAAGGAAACGACGCGACGTCAAGCTGGGTGAGCTTTCGTTGCCATCCCTAGTTTTGTGAACACGTCAGTTATATGCGGATTGATCATGATATAAAGATACAACATGGTTCACGGTGATGGAGAGAAACTGTGTGTTGTCTTTGTGTTCAACTGCACAATTTTGCAGCTTGCAAGACAGCAATGCGAAAATATGCAGTAAGGCACAATCTGCAAACTGAAATACGATACTGCAGGAGGCATTAAGAGAACGGGACACAACAGGACAGGATAGAGCAGGCAGTTACATGATTGAGTGTGAAAGCTGGAGGCAGTGCAAGTGTAATACGGGTAATACGTGAGTGGTTGATGGTTGATTCGATGGATTCAAGTGGGTAGGGTAGATATGAGTGAGGAAGGATGAACTGGGAAATAGTGTTTTGAGCGGGCCAATCAGAGGGCAACGGATGTCGGCGGTAGGAGTCACAGGGTGGAAGGCAGTCGCGGCAGGGGCCTTGGACTTAAAAAGACCCAAATAGTGCTGTGTCGCCCCCTCCACTCCCCCCATAACCCGCCAACTCCCTCTGCTCTGTGCAGTGCCTACCCGATCCGAATCAACTGCGCTCCGCTTTGACCAAGATGCCATCTTGAACTTTCGGTCTTGTTTGAGGGGATATAATGCGCCCAAGCATGGTCCTTTGCTTTTGAGATGTCCGTTGAGGTTATGGGAGCACAGCAGAAACAGACACTCGTCTTTGTTGATGATGAAGGCTTCTTCTGCTCAACCTAGGCAGCGCCCGAGAACGGAACGAGACGAATCAGGCCCAACGACTGAACGGAAAGAGCATATCTTACCTGTCTGAGCTCCTCCAACACCGACTCTTCGACGCCGCTTTCCTCAAAGTCAACTCTCGAGCTATTGACAACGTCGTCAATGATGGCCTTGTAGACGGCCCCGACTGCCTGGTTCGACATGATTATGTTTGTTCTGCGAGGCGATCGATCAATTCGATTCAATAGTTATCAAAGCTTGGCTCCGAATGTCGACTTGGATGCCTTGTCAAGTTTGCGCCGTCCAGTCGATGGTTCTGTCGTTGTTCTTGTTCTAGGCAGCAGGCGGTCTCGACGTTGATGAAAACAAGGAACAGCTCTTCGTTGAGCAGCGCGAACAAAGCACTCTTTTTTTTTTTAGAATGTAAAAGGTGAGCTGTCGGTGCTTGATGACCGTGTTTGACGTAGATGTATATCCAGCACTTGGCGATAGCAGCAATGTGCGCCTATCTGTAGAAGCTCTGAGAGAGCAGCAAAGGGATTAAAAATATCAAATGGTTCTTCGCTCGATAAACCAAAGGAAATGGAAATAACAAGATCGCAATCAATTGTCGACCGCGTCGCACGGATTCAGAATTCCGAAGAGGGTCTTGTACCAGGTCGGGATGCGGTTCGGTGCGGGTGCGGGTGCGGCTTTGTGATGTGATGTGCAGTGGGGAGAGTTGGTAGCCTGTGGTAGATTTCCGTTTCATCAATTGCTGAGAGCGCTGACTCAGCACTTTCAAGGCGGCCAACCTCCACTATCACTTATCACTGGCTGGGGCGCTGTCCAACATGGGAGAGCGACTGAGAAGCTCCGCTCGCAGGGCTGATAGAGGATGAATTTGACCTGGGACTTTATTTAAAGTAAGCTTTATCAATTAATATTGGATAGTTTTGTTGGATCATTTCTCGATTTTAGTATGATGAATAAGTGACTTGAGCTATGTCATATGTCATATTGCTCACACAAATTCTCCCACTCAATCACACCGTCACTCAGTCACTCAGTCATCAAGATTATGTTTCCGCCGCATATTTGATATCTTCATCCCCTCCTAACAAACTCAGGCAACAAGCCGTCTCAATGGATGCGCCTCAGTATTGAATACATACTCATCCAGGTTGATCAGATCCGGGTCGCTAAAGATGAGGTAAAAATACTTGAGCGTCTCACCCATCCAAAACGACTCCATCGAATCAACCGCTCGGGGCTTCTCTCCCGCGACGGTCACATCCCAAACGGCCGTGTTTGCCAGCTCTGTCTTTGTCGCTTCTTCGATCGCCTTGAACATGGTCCATGCATGCTCGGTGTACTCATGCTCGCCTGTGACGCGGTACATCATGAAAACGCTTTCGATGGCCTCGGGACGCAGAATGTATCGACGGTCAGGAATGCGAGTGAATCCCTTTGGGAGGTGCTCCTTCTTTATGATGGCATCTATTTGCGCCGCGTCGCCTTCGTTGATCTTGGCCTCTCTCAGAACACCTTCCCTCCATCGTTTCTCGTCCCATTGACATTCGTCCTTGGAGTCGCAAGGAATCATATAGAAAGTCTCGGGCATGATACCGTGAGGAAAAGCCTCATATGCATAGATGCAACCCTTTGCAAGTTTGGCTGCAGCGTCCACATCTTGCTGACGATTGAAGAGTCGTCCACCCAACGCCAGCATGCCTCCGAGGAAGCACACTAGGTGCTGCCCTTGGCTGTCTAGTTCGAAGGAGGTGTTTCCGTCCTTGTTTTTGGCACGAATCTGTCCAGAGACCAGAATGTCTCTGTTTTCGGGCGTCATGGGTCGAAATAGGTTGTGCTCCAGCGCTGAGTCCACAGCTTTCTCGTACATGGTTTGGTAGGTAGGTAGCTGACCACCCATCAACGCCGCCATCTTTGGTAGATATTCGTAGACGGAGTCAGCCATGGCACCAAGGGTGAAGATTGAGCCTTGGTTGAAGATCTCGCTCTTTGCGTCCACAGTTAGAGGCCATTGACCTGGGAGCAAGGTGGAGTCTTGCTGTGCTGCCAATAAGTCCATAATACTCTGCGAAGCATCAAACCACTTGGGGTCTCCTGTAAGTTGTGAGAGACGAGTGAGCTCCATACACAAGCTTCCAATCTCAGCAACGAGGACTCCGCCAGCAACCTGGTTCTTGCCTTCGCCCGCGTCGTGGAACTTCCATCGCGTGATAGGCATGTGGTTTGGTGTGTCAAAAGCCTTATATATCATCTCACCAACCTGGACTGCCTTGCGGAGCAGACGCATGTCTTCGCTCAACTCGAAGGCAGCAAGGAAACCGCCGAGATAGCGGATGTTGGTCTCAAAAATGTTGACTTCTTTGAGTTCTGTCTTGGTAAAATCGATTTTATCCACGGCAGTAACAGCTTCATTGAACTCATCACGCATGTCCATGATCCAGAGAGTATCGAGGGAGTCAACGAGAGTAGCAGCCCAGCCACCGAAGGGGTTGACCTGGCCTCCCGAGATAGGACTGAGCTCATCAGCCATCCAGGCATGCTTCTTGTATGAGTTCCAACATCTTGAAAATGTCTCTTTGATGGCCTGTTGACGCTCACGTCTCAACTCAGCAGCACTTATGCTGAACTCTGGGAACGTGGCCTGGACCTTGGGATAGGTGACGGGAGGGGATGTAGGCAGTGGTTGTGAGGCCGAGTGAGGATAGTTGACCTTAACAGTCTTCCAGTAGTAGTTATCATCCTGGTCTTGCCTCCACAAGGAATCCTTTACGGGCCAGCCGTGTTTTTGGTTGTGGTTGTAAGGGCCGTGTCCATATCGGGGGCCAACATATTCAGGGGTGCGACCAGCCCAATAGCAGAAGAGAATCACAGTTAATAGACCGACGGCTAGGACGAGAGCTCTGCTGCGGAGGAGCATGGTAATAGGAATGGAGCCCGTGGGGACGGGGACGGGGACGGGGACGCGGGGGGGGACGAAGAAGTAAGAGGTTACGATGAGTGTGGTAGGATGAAGGTTGTGGCTTGTTTCTTCTTCATCCCAGTGATGTAAAGGGCACCTGAATTGAACAGTTTTTCCACCTGCTTAGGTATCTAATCTTAACTGGCGATTTTTAATGTCTTACCTTATCTTGGACGCGTTAATAATGAAACAACTTGGCATCCGTTGCATCCAATTTGCCCCCGCAGACAAAGGACAGGTAAGGTAAGGTACCCCCTACATTGATCAAGGTGGAGGATACATGCTTCAGGCTTGGCATTGGATGGGTCATTTTTTAAGCTGTGCTACGCTAAGTATTTCAACACAACCAACACACAGTTAATTGCATGAGACACACGGTGCTCTCCGTCTGAGATACCGTCACTTCATACAGTGTCAATACTGACATGACTTATCAATCATTGTTTGGAAACCAACTGCAAAAATGTATTGATCGAACAATATCTACAATACTTTTATTGAAATTCCTGTAGCCATAAAGCATCCAATTTTCTACTGATCAAGTGCATTGTGTTGCCCTCTTTCTGTCGTGGCTGGAAAGTGACTTACTGAACCCTCGCTACAAGTTACTCGGCACTTTCTGCACACTTTTTATCATTTGAGACATGCTCTATGCGTTTATCATCCAGTAATAGTTACTCACATGAACAATCTCCCGACCATCAAGCATGAACTAACTGCAGAGCGGGACTGTTGAGCTCAACGGCCCTTGTTTGGGTAGCACAAATCTTCTGCATGTCGCCTATTCGAGCGAGTGGAAAAGATCGGGAAGCCCAGGGCCTGCATCTAAAGGACTCACCGCAACATGAACGATGGAACATCAAACCCTATGTTCTGTGACTTCTTCTAAAGACACGCCGCCTGATCTTGAGTCGTGGGTTGTAACTGACCCCCAAATATTGTCCATTCGACCTGGGTCTTATAGGAACCAGATACGAACCCGGCATATTGCGTTTCCCATGATCATAATATTAAGCGGCATTGAAACCTGGCAGGACCTGACTGTACGCCCAATCAGTGTTCACATGTTTTCCAATTTCTACCAAGAGACTAGCGGGCGTTACGATCTACAGAGTGCAGTTTTGCGTATCCCTGCAAGGACTATCTTATTCTTAGGATGTCTGCCGGTGCGGATTCTCATCCTGGAACATCATAGCAACTTCACACACGGACCTTTCTCTCCCATTAAGACATGATCAGGTCCTTCTATTCCCTTCAGCCAGTGAAGCAGATATACATATACTTGGGCATGAGACGAGATAGTTTCATACCATGTAGAAGAACATTATCTACGATATTTGATCTTCAACTACTTTATTGAGTTGAAGCCCCGGTGAAGATGTGTAATCTTGGGCAGAATATTGACCGTGCAGGCCAGAAGAACCATGCCATTTGACGTCCAAGACTCAGTACGATCTGCTCGGTCTGCTTCTCTTAGACTAAAGTCAGACAGAACTCTATCCAAACCACTGATCAACAATATCAATACCTACTCAGCTAGAAATAGTTTTGCATGGATAGCATACTTCCTTAGGGATCAGCCAGTAGGAGAGATTTCTGGGCTCTATGTTTCTCAGTCTTATTAAGTTCCTTTCAACTGGATGTTAACTGCTACTCGTAGCAAATGGCGCAGTCTGCACCTCTAGTGGATAAAAGACGGACTTACGGTGTTAATTCATGGTAATGGTACTCAGTATATTGGGTGCCATGCAGACCATACGGGAGCTTTCGCATTGGTTTTTCTGATGGGAGGTGATAGCATGGATATGCCACCATTGTAATCAAAATATAACCTGGAATATCAAATTCAACATCATGACCGGAGATCAAATAAAACTATCAGATTCTAGCGTTCTTCCCAAGGCTAAATATCTTATAGCTCTTGCCACAAGTCGAAAGAAAGCTTAACTCCCACAAAAGCATCTGCCTACCTAGTAGAAGGTTCTGAGGACGTAGCAGAACAGTAGAATCAGTTGCATCGTCCGTTTGCGGCCCTAATGATAGCATCACGTCTTATGTGGAGTTAAAAATCAGAGGTATGATAGATCATTGTTCAAGCAATGTCTAAGTATACAGTTTCTGGAATTTGACGGTTTCCATACAGGTACACTTCGATGAGCAACGGTGGGGAGGGATCTGCTCAGCGTTGTGTTCTACAATAGGACGAAACCAAAAACGAGTCTAGGCAGATGATTAGAGACAGGGGTCATATGGTTTGGAGAACATTAATATTGAAGAGATGACATGGAGAGCGTTAAATCAGTAATGCGCTTGCAATCCTATGGCTACTCGGCTTGGTGTTTCCCAGCAAGTCACATACAGTAGTTGACTCAGTATGGATTCATCCGATTACACTATTCACAGCAAGTCAAAAAGACACAAAAGAGTTATAAAACAATACCCTTGGCATTTTAACTTCATTTTTACTTCAATTCCAATTCCGTTGTACCATATAAACAAGTTCCAAACGCCCAATATTAATCCCGGTAGCGCACCATCCAGGCGGCTACATGCTCAAAAATTTCAATGCGATGCGATGTTGTGTGATGCTCCCATCATAAGTTCATGACCAGTCCGTTTCGTTCGTCTCTGCGTGGAGAAGCACTTTCATACCACGAGCAGAAGGGCAGGAAGACAACCCAAACTCCGTGCTTCAAATACAGAGACCCAAGATACCAGTGAAAGGTCATACCTACCGTGATCCAGTTGGTACTGGTATTTATCGGATGGTCATCTGCTTGGCCATGGAAGCCTTGCTAGAAGCACCAGAGGCGCCAAGGGCGGCGGTGGCACCAGCCTTCTTCTCGAAGATCTTCCAGAACTTGAGACTCTCATCAGCAGCAGCAGTAGCAAGCATCTGACCGTCAGGGCTGAGGCAGCTGTGGAGGACTCGGCTCTCATGAGCAGGGATCTCGACAGTTCGGACGAGGGTAGGATAGCTCCAGATGCTGAGAGAGTTGTCGGGGAAGCCGCTTGAGCTGACGATCTCACGGTGGTGAGGGCTCCAGCGGAGAGAAGTGACCTGAGAACCAGTGTCGATGCTGTTGACACGAGCGCCGGAGGTGGAGTTCCAGAAGTGGATGTGGCGATCGTAAGAACCACCGCCGGTAGCGAGGAGGTTCATGTTCCAGGGGCACCAAGAAAGAGCCTTGACGGCAGCCTTGTGGTTGGTCTTGGTGAACTTGGGGACGGACAGAGATCGGGCATCCCAGATGGAGATGAGGTTGTCGTTGCCGCCAGTAGCGAGCTGAGCACCATCGGAGCGCCACTCAAGACCGCAAACCTCGGAAGTGTGGGAGACGAGCTCGGCAACCTTGTGCTCAGCGATGCGAACATCGTGGTTGTAGACAAGGCCACTTCGGGCACCGGTGGAGAGAAGGTGCTTGTTCCAGCCCATGACACCAACGCGGGTGTCGTGGCCGAACATGCTTCGGATCTTCTGACCCTCAGCGACATCCCAGATCTGAACCTCACCAGTTCCGAGACCAACACTGACGTAGGCACCATCACCAGACCACTTGACGCTGCTAACGTAGGTGTCGGGGGTAGTCTCGAGGAGGCAGCTGACGCTACCCTCATCGGCAGACCAAACGTAGACGTTTCGCTCAAGACCAATAGCGACCTGGTTGCCGGAGCTCCAGTCGAGAAGGTTGAGGTAGTAGTCATCGACAAGGCCGGGTGCATCAAGGACACGCTCGGGAGCGGTGGCAATGCGGCGGCGAAGCTGAGCAGAGCTTGTGGTGGTAGACTTGAGAGGACGGTTGTACTGTTGTCGCAGGTCGATGGGCTTAGAGGACTCAGGGGCGGCAGGCTTGAACTCCAGGATGCGCGTGTTGAGGCTCACACCGCAGGCGTTGGCAAGGGAATCTTGGTAGGCAACAGTGTTGGGAGAGGGTCGAGAGTAGTTGTCAGGCTCATCGTCATCGTTGATGTTGAGGCTCTCCAGGGCAGCCAGGGCCTCGTCAGCAGCAGCAGAGAGAACGTTGGAGCTCTCAGTCTTGCTGCTCTTGGGTCGTTGTCTGTCGGGAAGATCCAGCTTGCCAGAGCCAGCGTTGTTGATGGCAGAACTGGCACCACGGTTGGGAATAAATCGGTCGCCACCATAGTTGAGGGTAGTCTTGGTAGTCTTGGAGGGTTTGGTCTTCTTGCTTGCGGGAGTCTTGGTGTTGGTGCCAGTACCAGTGAGGGTGAAGTCAGAGACGCCGAGCTCGAGAGCCTTGCGGGGAGTCTGGACGCCACGGGCAATGTTGGACTTGGGAGAGTCACGGTGAGAGGTCTTGGTGGTAGATCGGGCGAGATGAGACATCAGGTTACCACCGTAGGTAGAACGACCAGATGGTCTGAAGTCATTGCTGGACTGTCTCTCGGGTGTGAAGGGGGAAGAGTTCAAGTTGACGGGAACGTTGGAGGTAGAAGCCTGCTGACGGGGAGAAGGTGTCAGAGGCATGCGTCCACCAGCGGTACGGGCAGAGAAAAGTCCCTTGTGGGACTTGACAGGAGTCGACAATGCTACGGAAGCCATTGTGATATGTGTAATGTGTGTGATATAGACAAGTGGTATAGGTTAAGAGCGTGTAAGTGGGACTCTAGACCAGTAACCGACAGCTTGGACAAAGGTACCGAGCTTCGATATGATCCAACGAGTTCCAAGGCGCTCTTGATAGAAGCTCCCAGCAGTATTCTGTACTGTGATCAATGTTCTATAACAATCGAGATTGCTTTCACAAAGATATAAACAAGTTGAACTGGTGATCAAATGGCCGTGGCGATAGGATCTACCGAACTTCGAAACTTGTAAAATGCGACAGAAAAAAGGTTGCGATAAAGCACAAGGCTGATGCGAGGGTTTATTCAGGAAGAGAGAATTGTAGATGAATGGGTGATAGTGAGGGAAGAAGCAGTAGCAGATTGAAGCTCATGACGGTCACTTTTTATTTACATTGCCCTCGCCGTGCATCTGGCCGGGCAACGGTTGTTAAAGTGGTCGGAGCTGAGTTGCTCCCGTTCCGCGGCCGGGCCAACGCAGACGAGCAAATTAGAACGCGACCAGACGTCAGGGTCAGAAAATTAGGCGCTACCCAAGCGTAAGAGACGAAATAACCCGGTCATCTTATGCTTTACAGGACGGTACCACTTGCACCCATGCAAATGTCCCTCCTGACTTCAACCTTGGACGCGGCTCTTCGTAGTGTAGGGGGCAGGGCGGTCCGAAAAATAACCAGGATACAGAAGAACATTGACAAAATAACTTAGACTTACTTAGGCACTAAGGTCATGGTAGACTATCCTAATCTTTATGATACCCTTAGCTAAGTCTCGCTTTTTCTTCGACCCACCTAGGGGTGTCCCTTTTCTTGTCAGTCGTCAGATCACCAACTGACTGCATTTAACATCCATCATCCATCCAACCCACCTTCCAGTATCCACGTCCCATACCGACGGCTCGGACCTGTGAACTCTCATTTGGCTGACTCCCTTACTCTCTCACTCACTCACTTGCGCTCTCTGATTTGCGTCGCACTTATACTTTTTTTTTTCCATCCGTCCGACTTGCGCTGTGACATGTGTATTTAACGCCACTGATCGTTTATCGAATTTCCAACCAAGCCATGGCTCAACCTTCAACCCCCGGACAGTCAATCTTCGGCGGGCCTACCCCTGTCGCCGCGACAACGCAGGCGGCGGCATTCGGGGCCGACAACTCAACGGCCTCGAATTCGCTGCAACCGACGCCGACGCCGCCCTCGGCCGCTTCGTCCAACAATACCTATATTATGCCAAATTCCCCTGCGAAGGGTCGCAGCGTTGCCGATGGATACCGGCCCAAAGTCACCCGCACGCTAGGCCAGAGACCCGCTTGTCTAGTCAATGCTTCAGTGACGTATTGCGGAAATAATCAGATATACGCTTTTGGAGGTTTCGACCAGTATACTGACGAAGTTTACAACCATGTGTTGAGGCTGGACCTCGTCAGCCATCAATGGAGCCTGGTCGACAATTACGGTGATATTCCAGGGGTGAGAATGGGTACGTTGCATGCGATGCGATAACCAACAATTCATCACTAACACCATCTAGGACATACTGCGACCTTGTACCAAGGCAACAAACTCCTAGTCTTCGGCGGCGAGAACGAACATCGAACCTACCTGTCCGACCTCATCGTATTCGACCTCAAAACTGCACACTGGACTCAGCCACTCGTTTCAGGCCCGATACCCAAAGGCAGAGCAAGACATGCTGCTGTTCTGCACGAAGATAAACTATTCATTATCGGCGGCATAACAGGTCAGAACAACTACGTGTTGGACGATATCTGCTACCTCGATCTGAAAACGTTCACGTGGTCCAAATCATGGCGCTTCGTCGGCAGATTCGATCACTCGGCATACATCTGGGGCGATCGTGTCTGGGTATTTGGAGGCCTTAGTGAGGACATGGACAAGATTAGCGATCTGTGGTGGTTGGACTTGAAAGGAAGTCCGCAGTTTGATTCTCGACCCCAGATCGGTATCTTCGACCGGGGCTCGTCAGCTCGTGCTAGCAACTCTCCGCGACCTCCGTACACCATGCCACAAGCTCCTGTCGTTGGCGCCTCTGGCTACGCCGCCAACTCTCGGACAGCACAAGTCAACCCGCCTTCACACCAACTGAAGACCTATGCGCCTCTAGCCCCGGGATCTATATCTGCTCTCAAGTTTATGTCCGGCCCATCGATTCCATCACAGGGTTCCGGTCTTCACTACCACGCATACTCATCCGGTACTCTACTCGATTTCGTGACACCTGCTGCCACCCTCACATCGAGAGAATGCTCCCTCTCCGCATTAGACCTAGGCACCCTTCGCTGGACGAAGCTTGCTGGGGGTAGGGAGATCTTCAAAGCGGGCTACAGGTGGCATTACTGCTGTATGAACGAGGATGGCACCAAGTCATGGCTACTAGGATGTCCAACAGACCCTGCTGCGACTGATATAGGGCCCAACGGCTATGAGGAATATCTTAGGTAAGCCCACCCATCGGGGTGTCGGAAGGATTGACCGTCGAGAGCATGAGAGACGAAATAATTTGGTCATATTGTGCCAGCTTAGGCTAGCATTTAGGCTCCTTTATTTCTGTACCCTAAGCCGGCATAAGATGACCAAATTATTTTGTTTCTTATGCTCTTGACGGTCAATTCTTCTGACACCCAGCCAAATCTCGAATCGAACATGTCTAACTTGGCTGAACAGTGATATCATGGAAATTGATCTTAGAAGATATGGCTTTCTTGGCGACCATTTGACGCCTGAGCCAAGGTCAGAGTCAAGACCATCTGCGACCACTAGAGCTGTGGATCAACCCTCTAAAGGATTGGGATCAGATTTGGCCAAGCTTTTCAATCAACCTCCTGAGACAGGTAGCGGTACTGACTTTATCATTACTGCACTGGCCGGCGACTATGAAGATGACGAAACTCTCACCTCCAGTATGACTCGCAATGACGAGTCTTCACTTACACAGAACCAGAGCTGGCTTTCGGCAGATGCTCCAACCTCACAGCCTATCCATGTTCACAAACTCATCTTACAGGCTCGTTGGCCTCACTTTGCTCGCCTTTACAATGCCCAGATGGCCGAGTTTCACACCAAGAAGATGCATATTCCGGAGCCTTACAGTGTAGTCAAGGCCTTCCTCTACTATCTCTACACAGATAGCATTCGTGGCACGTCAGACAACGACAGCGACGCTACCACGGCTCTTTCTGACGTAGCGGGTCTTCTCGTCATGTCGAATATCTACAACATCCCTCACCTCCGCCTGCTCTGCGTGAACCGTCTAGCCAAGGAGCTCGACGTCGACCATGCTTGCATCATCTGGTATTGTGCCGGACTCGCTAACGAAGAGTGGTTGCGCAAACGTGCCGCAGGATTTTGCATGATTCACTGGGGTCGTGTCGTCCGCACTCAAGGCTTTGTTCGTCTGCCGCGCACCGCACTTGTCGAGCTTTCTCAAGAAGTTGACATGGAGGGACGTGTCATTGGCGGAGAAGAGCTTGAGTGGGGTGGCATGCATGACGGACATGATGCTACTCGTAAGGAGAGTATTGGCAGCAACCAAACGCAGATGATCGAGGACGATGATGACGAAGGCATGGAGATGAACTGAAAGCTATCCTCTAAGCATGTCTCATGACACTCGGCACCAATCTCCGCATCCCACAAAGTATCTGATCTGCACTATGTTACGAGTGCACATGCGCAGCTTTAGATGCGATACTTTCTACCTGGTGGTGCAGTTCCATGAATCGATGGCAGCACTTGTTTATTGGCGTTTGTACGAGGCTTATCTTTACTGTCTTAAACTCTTTTGGGCTGAATAGCTCAAGCATCGCAAGGCGTCTTTGGTGTTTATATATGTAGTCCTCAGCTATGATTAGGTAAAATAGAGATATGCTAAATGTACGATACCCATTTCCCGTTTCCTGTGGCGTTCTGCAGCTCTCTAGCTTGCGCACACTCGTTCAGCATCACCGGGAATTCTTACTGTTAGAGAAGGAGGTCACGTCTACAACAAGGGTGCTTAAAAACTGGCCAGGTCATTGTCGTTCTCAAAGGCTTGTTGGTGCAGATCTCTATTGCGACCCACCGTTTTTTGCAGATAGAAGTGATCACCAAGGGCCGTTTTGACAACGTCACGAGACAACGTTTATGGGCATCTTGCAAACAAAAACGTCTGTTAGGCTAAAATAACTCTCAGTACGGCTTGTGGTTTCGAAACAATGGCCCCCAGACCCGGGTCATTGGAGGACAGGCCAGGCTGTCCAGTCTATGAATTTGCTTTTCATTGTTCAACCGACTCCATACCATCCTCGCTTTTAATATAAAGGCAGTGGGACAATGGCAACTCTGCAGCCAAATAGTCACGTACACTAACCAGAGGAATAATCAACGTCAAAAGCAACGCGAGAGGCCCCGTTTCCCAAGGGCCCATGTATGCCAGTTTTCCCAACCCTCTAAAATCATACAACGAACAGCTTTTTGATAACAGAAACTAAGATAAAGAAACGAAAGAAGAACTCTCATCGTCGCGCTAGGCCGGCGAGTAATTTTGCATAAGCATTCGACTCAACCAGAATACCCAGTACTACTGGTGTAGTCAAACAATCAACATAGGAATCGAACATCCGGCTTCTTCAATTGAGCGTCGTTCAATTCAAGAACTTGCAAGACGACTCCAAACAGAGAAAAAGATGAGTTTGACGTCTAATTTCGAACGCTTTGAATTGGCTCCTTAACGCCGCCAGGAGGTGCAATGAGGCCGAGGCAAGAGACTAATCGTCAATGCCTGGACAGGGTATCGGCAGAGGAAAGACACAGGCAACGAAAACAGAATCGATGTCGCGGCGGCACGAGTCAAATTGGGACTAGCAACACCAGCAACCTAGGTGTACCGTATTCGTGGAAGATCGTCTGCAACCTATTGCATCATTTGGTCTTCACCTATTCCTTGCAAATTCATGCCTGCTGCAAGAGCTTGAAGTTTGAAATCGGGATTGCACGGGAGAGAGTGTGCCTTGTGCTGGTTGCAACAGTTAGCATTCGATTGGCGTATTACCCATTCTCGAAGACACTTACATATTTCAAACCGTTCAAATTCTTATATCGCTTGCCGCACGTCTCGCAGCTGAATGGCTTCTCCTTCTCCATACCCAATGTTCCCGGATAAGGCGCGCTCGTCTCCGGGTTAACAATTGAGAAAGTTCCATCTCCATTCTCATGGAGCTGTTGAGTTTGGTGACCATGAGTCTTGTGATACTTCAGGCCATTCTGATTTTTGTAAGCCTTTTCGCAGCCAATGACCGGGCACTTAAATGGCTTGTGCTCTTCAGGCATCATCATGCTCTGTAGACGTTGCATGATAGCCTTGCTGGTTTGAGGGTCGTTAAGTTGAGACTGGTTGATACCCAGCTGTTGCAGCTGTGCCTGGATGGAACGGTTGGGAGGAAAGCCATTGGAGCTGAAGAGGTGCTTTCCGGGGTCGTTAATGCAGAAGTTTGAGTCGTTGTTGTTCTGGTTACCATTAAAGCTCATATCACCGATATCGTTCGTGTTACCGCCCATGGGCATGCCCGGAAGGTCCTCATCTAGATCGACTTGCTGACCTTGAGGTACTTGGCCTTGTGTGGTAAGTGTAGGAGTGTTGACAGAAGAGACTGTGGGGTTGTTCTGTAATCCGAAGCTCGCAGCAGCGGGTGTTGGTGGTTGAGAGGTTCGCAGGCCCTGAGTAAGACCGGAAGTATTCATATTGAGCTCTGGTCTCTGCTGGCCGAAGAGCTGTCTTGTCTGAGACATTCTCTGGCTGTCATCCATCTCCATAGTGCCTACAGCATCGTCCATTTCCATATCTGCAACGGCGTCCATCTCATCATTCAAGTTCGATGGCATAGCAGAGTTTCCGTGAAGATCGTGTGAAGATTGCTGACCTCGGCTATGTTGTCCCAATTGACTTGTCGAATGTGAATTGCTTCCTGGTGCTGCTGAACCAGCTCGTGAGATGGACATTCGAGGGGCACTGGGCATGCCCAACTGCGAAAACTGAGAAAAGGCATTATTCCGGGCTGTATTTGGGCTGGGCTGTGTGTGGGCTTCTTCGTAGTGTTGAAGCAGATCGTGCAGGTTAGGGAGGATCTTGCCGCAGCAGGTGAAATCTCGCATGAAGTTCGCTTCCAACTTGGGAAGGTAGGAAGAAGAATGGAAAGAAGGGGACTGGTGAGCTCCACCGAATGGTGATGGTGATGTTCCTGCCATCATAATACTGCAGAATCATTTTGTCAGCATATCTCTACTCGAGACGTACGGTCACGGATTGGGCGGGAGGGCGCATTGTTTTCTGCCGCATTGCATGTATGTGGGTTGTCGCAGGGCTGTGATGGAGCCCGAAACTCAAAACGGCTCGCCACAAGATATCAATCGGCGCCGCAAACGGTGGTAACGGCAACGAATATTTGGAAGTGTTTGGTTTTCGAGGCCGGGCCGTTGTAGGAGAGCAACCGATGTCAAGTGTGGCATGGCCAGAGGAGAGCTTGCTTCGAGTAGGACAACAATTCTTGTGACAGTATGTCGAAACAATGATCGGAGGACAGGATCGTGATGATGGTTAAAAGGCGGGCTGGTATGACTCACTCATCTCTAACAAAGCTACCGAAGGACATGCCTCCCCAGCTCATGCCGCCGCCCATGAGGCTTCCAGCAAGAGATTCTCTTCTGTTGCGGTTCGCGTTATCGCCACGGTTGGGATTGTTCATCGATATGGGCTTGGGACCGGCGCTGACAAAAGAGTCCCGACGGCCCATGGTAGGGTCGAGGGAGGGTCCAGTAGTCATATTGTCGTCGTAAGGAAGCTGTTCAGGATCAGGAGGATCCGGTGTCTGAATAGATGTGCTATTATCTAATTTGGGAAAGCTGTGAAAGTCGTTCAAGTAAAAGTCGAAGTCGAACTTGTCGATGTTGGTGTTGGAAAGAATAGCAGGATCAAACTCGCCGATAGAGAGTTGGGGGGCAGCAGCTTTAGCGGTAGTAATACTACGTGACAGCACCGAGGCAGCGACAGGAGCAGCAGTGTTAGCGTGCGCGCCAGGCAGGAAATGGCCCGTGGTAGGGGTCTCGGGCTGGGGCGACGGCGACTGCGACTGCGTCAGCGAGCTTGAGCCCGAGTTGATGAGCGACCCTGGAGAGTCAGGGTCATCAGCAACGGCGGCGGCGAAGTGGGCACAAGCACTGGCAGTACTGATACTGGCACGGTCGTAGTTGGCGTTGGCGGTGGCGGCGGAGCCTACGACCGAAGGGGCGAGCCCTTCTGAGCGAATGATCTGAGTGGAATCCCACACCCCGGTACTGCTGGTGGAGGCAGACGCACGCGGCTCCTGGGTTCCCAAAGTGTCGCTTGGCTTCTGGAACATCTTGCCGAACGACTTCCCCATGTCGACTCAATGAGATGAAGATGAAGGTGGACTCGGGGATATTGCAACAATGCGGAGGGTAGAATTAGGCAGGAGCTTACAATAGGAAAAGGCCAGATCTGAGATTTTGCAAAGAACGGCAGGAAAGGATGATGGGGAGTGTTGGAGGCAGAGGCAGGTACAGGTACAGGTACACCTGCCGATACTAAAAGAAAGTACCTGAGGTCAATGAAGATGAGGTAGGTAGGTTAAGGTGCCGAATTACACTAGAGCAAGGTCAGGTAAGGTACACACTAACTTTCTGGAAGGAAAGGTACTATTCCCAGGTACGTACCTGCCCTCTGGACGGTTTCGTTCAAGACGGTCTGGGTTAGACTAGACTGGATCTTGGCGCGATGTAGTCTAGGGACCCTAGTCGCTAGACTGGACTCGACGGGTACCGACAGTGACGGATGGATAATTGCAGTGATGATGTATGAAACAACCACTGATTTTCGTTGAGAACGGTTCTTGGCTAAGAACTCAAGAAAGATCGTTTGCTTCAGGAGAAAGGGGGGGGGGGAGGG